CAGATGAGCTGAAAGATGTTGGCGTTCTCTCGAAGCTTCTTGAAGCACTTGTTGGCGATTTTCAGCCTAAAATTTCTTTTTCGGTGTCTGCAACTAATAGCTGAAAACGAGCCAGTCACTGTATTCGATCCATTGACCCGCTACTTTCAGGTGGGACCTGAGAGTCTTGACATGTGCAACAATAGGTGAAGCTGAAGGATACTCCTGAAGCGCATCCCTCGTTGGGAATGTGGACGGAGCCCAATTAGCAGCTGCACTCTCTTCATTGTGCCGCCCTTTCTCTTTACCTAGAAAGGGCGGACTAACCGCTGGAAAATATCTTTCCTCCAAGGGTCCGTCGGCCAGTATGGGATGTGCTTCTAGATCTAGGGACTTGTATAGATAGGAGAGTGCCCTGGCCTGATCCCGGGACTTCAAATCTATTACGACATCAGTTTTCGTGAATGTTGAAGCCTGTATTCGAGTTGTCAGTACTCCCAGGAAATTCTTCATTTCACCTACCTTGTCCTGTTATGGGATAATTTCAGCGCATGAATCTGGTTTGTACCTGTGACCATTCGAACCTTCTTCAGCATCAACTATCAAGTATTGTTGGGTCGAAAGAGGGCTAACAATGGCGCGTGGCCACTGGCTTCCTTTTCAGGGTGGTTTCTCGAGAGCTCTTTGTTGAAGGCAGATGAGGCCTCGCTTTTCGGTCATAGCCCTCAGCCAAGTGTTGTGACCCACAAAACAGGTTTCCTCTCTTAGCTGAGATAGTGAGTCTGCCAGCACATTTCGGGAGTTCGGGACTGTAAAGCTGAAACGTCCTAAACTGCGTAACTGTACTACGTCAGTACTATAATACATAATTGTTGATATTATAGTAATAAAGTAATAGAAATAATAAGTAATAATGTATTAATGAATAATAAGTAATAGAAATATTTGTATGTATCAGTGCTACTGTATATGATTCAGATGCGATTGATATGTACGTGGGATCTCTATTGGAGGATCCCGTGAAGGACTCGCTGGTAGGACCAACTTTGGCCTGCGTCATTGGCGAGCAATTCAAGCGGACGAGAAATGGCGACAGGTCACATTTTGCTCTTCACTTCGTGTTTTTTGATCTTCTAAAGCGGCT